TTTTTTTTTTTTTTTTTTTAACTTTTCTTTTACCTTTTCTTTAACTCTTTTTTTCTTTTACTTTTTATTTATTTTACATTTTTTTGTATATGTATAATTCCGGTGTCACTTCTCTTACGTATGAGGTTTTAATCTCTCTCTCTCTCTCTCGTTTTTTTCTTTTTCTTCTTCTCTCTCTCTCGTTTTTTTCTTTTTTTTTCTCTCTCTGGTCTAATATGTTTACAGATGCGTCTGACACTCAGCACATGTGATTTCCATTGCTTCGTTTTTTTTCTTATTTATTTTTCCTCCTCCTCCTCCTCTTTTTACCTCCTGGTTTTCTTCTTCTCTTTCTCTTCCTCCTCCTCTCTTTCTTCTTCCTCTTTCTCATTTTCTTTCTTTTCTTCTTCTCTTTTCTCTTCCTCCCCCTCTCTCTCTTCCTCTTTCTCTTTTTTTCTTACATCTCTTCCCTCCTTCTTCTTCTCTTTGTTCTCCTCCAAGACCTACTATTCTTACCATTTCCCCATGCTTCTCCATTTTTAAAATTCTATTTCTGCCTCTTCCTTCTCCCTCTTTCTCTTTTTTCCTTCTTAACATCTCTTCCCTCCTCCTCCTCTTTTTTGTTCTCCTCCAAGTCCTACAATTCTTACCTCTTCCTCATTCTTCTCCATCTTTTTTATTCTACTTTTACCCCCACCATCTTTTCTTCCTTGTTATCACATTTTTTTTTTTAACATTTCTTCAATCATCCGCTCACACGCACGTCTGATCTAATCTTTTTATCTCTCCTTCCCTCTTTTCACTCGCTTACTCACGCTCTCTCGCTTTGTTCTCCGTATCATCATTTTTTCCCTCTCCCTCTCCCTTCCTCTCCCTTCCTCTCCCCCACTCCATCTCCGCCTCATTCTCCTCTTTCTTTTTTTCTCTTTCCTTACGTCCCTCGCCCCTCATTCAGTCTTAGTCGATCTCTAAGTCTTTCTGTGTCTGTCTGTCTCTGTCTTTGTCTGTCTCAAAGCACAAACCAAAAGCACACAAGGACGCATATTCAAACAAACTATAAAGACACACAAACAAACACAAACACATCTCTGCAAACACAGACACACACATCCAGACACACATCCAGACACGCATCCAGACACGCACATACACCAACGTTCGCGCACACACGGATGCAAAGTTGATTAATTGATTGAAAATCAATAAGGAGCTTAATTAATCAAAGCAGTAACGCGCCCGTCAATGACTGACATTTGATGCCCTGATCTGATTACCATTTTTTTTTTTTCCGGGTGATTTTCAATTCTGAATTCTCATTCAGCATTCCTGATTTTCCTCTTGCGGTCTTGCTCTCTCTGTCTCTGTCTCTCTTTTTTTTTCTCTTTAACCTTATCAGACTTTTTCTGTTTCACTGTTTGTCTACCTGTACGTTATTCTGCCTGCCTGCTTGCCTGCCTGTCTGTCAGTCTGTCTGCCTTGCCTAACTGTCTGCCTTGCCTGCCTTGCCTGCTGCCTCGCCATGGCCGGCCTGCTTGCCTACCTGCCTTGCCTGCCTACCTGTTTGTTTTCCTGATTTGCCGGCCTTGCCTGCCTGCGTGCATGCCTCCCTACCTGTATCTGCCTGCTTGTCTGCCTCTTTAATAGTCTGTATCTCTATCTGTCTTTACTCTCCGGCTCTCCTTTCTCTCCCTCCTTCCACCTCCCCCCTTTCTATCTCTACACCTCATTTCGTGTTTCTCTCCCTTTGGCATCTGCCTCCTACCCAAACAACCCCCCTCTCCTACACCTGATTACTACACACCAACAAAAACTACCAAAATACACCCAAACAAACTACTGACACACCACACCACACCGACACACAAACTACCCACACTCCACATTCACACACACACCTACCCCCAACAACACACATCCACACAAACCATCAACCCATTCCAAACTTACACTTGCACACACACACACAACACACACACACACACACACACACACACACCACACACACACACACACACACACACCACACACACACACACACACCACACACACACACACACCACACACCACACCCACACATCCTACAAACCCCACCACCCACACCACACGCCGCATCCTACCGCCCACCTACAGCACGCCACCAAACGCCCACACACGACCTGTGACGCGGATTCCCCGACACATCCGCTGTGGGGCTGTGTGGTCTCGCTCGCCGCGCCTCCCCTTCTCCAAATGCAGATTGAAATATAACGTGTCAATTTCTCACCGCTCGAGGAGGAGGGAGAACTGACAGTGAGTGGGGAGGAGGGAGAGGGGGAGGGGGAGGGAGAGGAGGGAGGGAGGGAGGGAGGGAGGAGGGAGGAGGGGGAGACCGACAAGAGCTGTAGTGAGAGAAGTAGAGAGAAAGAGAGAAGTAGAGAGAGAAGAGAGAGAGAAAGAGAGAGAGAGAGAGAGAGAGAGAGAGAGAGAGAGAGAGAGAGAGAGAGAGGAGAGAGAGAGAGGAGGAGGAGAGAGAGAGAGAGGAGAGAGAGAGAGAGAGAGGAGAGAGAGAGAGAGAGAGAGAGGAAATGAGATGAGAGGAGCGGAGCGGAGCGGAGAGGAGAGAGAGAAGGGCGCCGAGCACAAGAAAAGACAGAGGGGAGGCACGAAAGAAAAGGGGACAGAGTGAGAGAAGAGAGAAAGAGAGAGGGAGAGAAAAGAAAAGAGAAAAAAAGGAGAAGGGGGAACTACAAAATCGAAGGGGAAATGAAAGCCCTGATCGCGGGCGTGCAGCCGTGGGGGGGAGCTCGGTCGTCTAAGGGATCGGAAAGGCTTTCCCTCCTCCTCTCTCCCTCTCTCTTTCTTCTTTCTTCTCTCCTCCTTCCCTCCTCTCTGCTCCCTCTTGATCCTCTCTCCCTCTCTGCTTTCTTTCTTTCTTCTCTCCTCCCTCCCTCCTCCTCTGATCTTCTTTCCTTCCTTTCCTCCTCCTCTGCTCCCTCTCTGCTTTCTTTCCTTCTTCCCTCCTTCTCTCCTCCTCTCCTCTTCTGACTTTCCCTCCTTCCTCTGCTCCCTCTCTCTTTCTTCTTTCTTCTCTCCTCCCTTTCCCTCCTCCTCTGCTCCCTCTCTGCTTTCTTTCTTTCTTCTCTCCTCTTTCCCTCCTCCTCTGCTCCCTCTCTGCTTTCTTTCTTCTTCTCTCCTCCCTTTCCTCCTCCCTGCTCTCTCTGCTTTCTTTCTTTCTCTCTCCTCCCTTTCCCTCCTCCTCTGCTCCCTCTCTGCTTTTCTTTCTTTCTTCTCTCCTCCCTTTCCCTCCTCCTTCTCCTCTCTCTTTCTTTCTTTCTTCTCTCCTCCCTTTCCCTCCTCCTCTGCTCCCTCTCTGCTTTCTTTCTTTCTTCTCTCCTCCTTTCCCTCCTCCTCTGCTCCCTCTCTGCTCTCCTCCCTTTCCTCCTTCTTCCCTCTCCTTTGCCTCCTCCTCTGCTCCCTCTCTGCTCCTCTGCTCCCTCTCTGTCTCCTCCTCTGCTCCCTCTCTGCTTTCTTTCTTTCTTCCCTCCTTCTCTCTCCTTCTCCCGATCTTTCTTTCTTCCCTCCTTCTCTCCTCCCGATCTTTCTTTCTTTCCCTCCTTCCTCCCTCCTACTCTCTCTCTGCTTTCTTTCTTTCTTCTCTCCTCCTCTGCTCCCTCTCTGCTTTCTTTCTTTCTTCTCTCCTCCTCTGCTCCCTCTCTGCTTTCTTTCTTTCTTCTCTCCTCCTCTGCTCCCTCTCTGCTTTCTTCTTTCTCTCCTCCTCTGCTCCCTCTCTGCTTTCTTTCTTTTCTTCTCTCCTCTCTGCTCCCTCTCTGCTTTCTTTCTTTCTTCTCTCCTCCTCTGCTCCCTCTCTGCTTTCTTTCTTTCTTGGCTCGAGACTCCTCTCTCTCCTTCTTTCTTCTTTCCCTCCTTCCTTTCCCTCTCCTCTTCTCCCTCTCCTTTCTTTCTTTCTTCCCTCCTTTCTCCTCCTCCTCTCTCCCTCTCTGCTTTCTTTCTTTCTTCCCCCTCCTCTCCTTCTCCCGATCTCTAGCCTCCCCTTTCCCATCCCTCTTTAATGCCTACCTCCCTTCCTTCTTCCTCCCTCCCTTTCCCTCTTTCCTCCCTCCTCCTCCTCCTCCCTCCTTCTATCCCTACCTCCCTTTCCCTCTCTCCATTCCTCCTCTCCACGTAATACCTCTTCCATTAATCATACCTCTCTCTTCATCTTCCTCCCTCCCTCTCTCTCTCAACCTTTCTTTTCCTCACCTTCCCCCCTTCCTCCACCCTTCCTTCCTCCCTCCCCACCCTTCCTTCCTTCCCTCCCCCCCCCTCCCCTCTCTCCCCCCCCCCTCTCCCGCCCACCTTTCCTCTCTCCCTCCATTCCCCCATACCCCCCCCCCTCCCGCCCCCTTCCTCTCTCCCTCCATTCCCTCCTCCTCCCCCCCCCCCACCCCTTCCCGCCTCCACCCTACGCAGACGCAGATCCTGCCGGAGACAAGGATAAGGGCGCCGCTGGGTACACGGAATGGGGTTACAAGGGAAGCGAGCAGGTTGCCGCGGAGAGTACCGACTGCAGGGGCGTGCGGAGTGCGAGCGACGGCGGGCGAAAGAGGGAGAGTGTAGATTGCGAACTCACTTGGGTATCGCCACACAGGAGGTGGTGTTGCACGGGGAACGCGGACATTCACCCCCCCTATACACTCGCACACATGAACGGACGCACACACATACAGACCATCACCGCTTGCACCCCACACACACACAGACAACGACAGAAACCCCACATACACACACAGACACACACACACACACACAACACAACACAACACACACACACACACACACACACACACACACACACACAACACAACACAACACACACACACACAACACAACAAACCACACCACACACACACCACACCACACCACCACACACACCACCCACACACCCACACCCCACACCCACCCACCACCCATCCCCACCCCACCCCACCCCCACCACCCAAACACAGACACACACCCACCAACCCCCCCCCCCCGATACTCACCCCTGTCTGGTGGTGGTTGTTGGTCGCAGTGCGAGATCGGCGCGGCGTAATCCCGACATTTTCCCCCCGCAAGATGCTCTCCACCACTGCAAGGGAAGAGACACGCGGGCATTAGCAGGCTCCGAAACAACGCCACCTGCACAAACACAACCAAAATGCTGGAGTACACAGCGCGAGCAAACAAATAAACAGGCCGCTTATTCTCCGTAACTCCAGTCAACATTATCTGACAATGGTAAACACATAATAAGGAAAATACATACACGTTCATACGACAATGTTAACATGAGCAAATAAACAAAGAGCAAAGGGGAACAATGGCTGGATTTACATACGAATAAATAAACCTTGACAAGTTAAAAACAGGCAAAACACACGCACAAAAAGCAAACAAACAAATGAACACGTGAATAGAGCAACTAACAATGCATATATCAAGAGTAAAAAAAAAGAAAAGAAGAAAAAAAAAAAAGTACTAAAAAAACAAACACCGAAGTTTGATGAGAACGAATAAATAAAATAAAATAAAACCTTCCTCCCTCCCCCTTTCCTTCTTTCCAAACAGGTACAAAACAAAACGAAAAAAAATATGTGAGGAAGTTGTTCCAAAGTTCCAACAAACTTACAAAGCAAAAAACAAGAGAGAGAGAGAAAAAAAATCGAGAGGGATAATAAATGAGAAAAAAAAGAAACTTTCGCAATTGCGTAAATTTTCTCGATGTAAAGTTGCAGTGCATTTGAATCGCGTTAGGACCTTGCACCAAGTTGGGAGAGGGGGGGGGGAGGAGAGGGAAGGAAGGGAAAAAGTAGAAAGGGAAAGAATAAGAAAGGAGGAATAATTGGGGGAGGAATGGGGAGGGAAGAGTGGGAGCGAAGAGGGGAGAGGGGAGAGGGAAAGGGTGGAAAGAAGGAGGGAGGAGAGGGAGGGAGAAGAAGGGGAGAGGAAACGGGAAAGGAGGGGAAGGAACGGAAAGGAATGGAGAGGGAAGGAAAAGAGAGTAGGTGAGAAAAGACGCAGAAAGCTGCATTACACCAACACCACAGACGACGACCAAAGGACACAGCAGGACCGCGCTCACAGGAATTCACCAACAGTACCCGGACAAGACAGGAAAACGGACTGCAGTAGCTTTCGTGTGACCAAAAGACACCAGTGCATGAGACCACCAGACTGCACGCACCACGGAGGCCAAGTGCATGGCGCCGGAAGACCTACATCACGTACATGCAAGAAACGAGAAACGTGCATGGCTAAAGGAGACCTGCAGCAGGTACGTGCATGGCTAAAGTAGACCTACTCAGGCACGTGCATGACTAAAGGAGACCCTCAACAGGAACGTGCATAGCTAAAAGAAACACACCCAGAGCGCGCATGACCAAAAGAGACCTATACTAGGTACACGAATGGCCGTGTAACAAACAGAAGAAGGGAGACATGCGTCACTTAAGTGGGTGGAGGCAGAAAAGAAAAAAAAGGGGAACGAGGTAAAAAAAATAAATAAATAAATAAATCTCAAAAGCAGAGAGGAAGAGATCGGAGCAGCCTTCTCCTTCATGAACGTCTTCAAGATGAAGCGAAGGTAGGGAGGGGAGGGTAAGGACGCATGGAAGGGAGGGAGGTACGGTAGGGAAGAGAGGAAAGGGAAAGAAGGAAGGAAGGAAAGAGAGAAAGGGAAGGAAGGATGGACAGGGAAGGAGGGCATGAGAGGTAAGAAGGGTAGGGTAAGAATGCAGTAAGGGAAGGAAGAAAAGGAAGGATAGATAGGGAAGGAGGTCATGAAAGGTAGGGAGGGTAGGGTAAGGACGCATGGAAGGGAGGACGTACGGTAGGAAGAGAGGAAAGGAAGGAAGGAAGGAAGGAAGGAGGGAAGGAGGGGAAGGAAGGTGAAGAAGGGACAGGGAAGGAGGGCATGAAAGATAGGAAGGTAGGGTAAGGCAGGAAGGGAAGGAAGGTACGGTAGGGAAGAGAGGAAAGGGAAGGAAGGAGGGAGAAAGAAGAAAGAAGGAAGAAAGGGAGGATGGACTAGGAAGGAGGGCATGGAAGGTAGGGGGGGGGGGTAGGGGAAAGCATAGAGGAAAGGGAAGGAAGGAAGAAAGGAAGGATAGGGAAGGAGGGCATGGAAGATAGGAAGGGTAGGGTAAAGACGCATGGAAAGGAGTGAGGGTGGTAAAGAGAAGAAAGGAAAGGAAGGAAAGCTACGGAAGGGAGGGAGAGAGGACAGGGAAGTAGGCGAAAGAAGCAAAAGAGGGTAAAGAAAGAGAAGAAGGCTGAGAAGGGGGCGGGGGAGGGAGGAGGAGGGAGGAGGGCTCTGGTGGGCCTCCTACAAACGGTCAACTTTCAATTTAACTTTGGCCATTTTGCTGAATCATGTGCCGCAGCGAGAGAGGCCGCCCGCCCGGCTGACGGCGAGGCTGACGGAGAGTGAGAAGGGTGATATTTGGGGTGATGGAGGGTGACAGGGCGGCAGAGAAGAGGGGGGGGGGGAGGTAAGGAATGCAAGGTTGGTGGGAATGGCAATCGTAACTTTAAGGGTGAGTAGAAGGGAGTGTTTACACGAACATTACGATGGCAGTGATTGATAGGGTGAATAAAAAAGTGAGAGTGAGCGCAAGGGTAAAGGGAGTAAGTGTGATAAAGCGACTGAGAAAGCAATAGCACCCGATGACTGAAAGGGTTAATTATAAATGAAAGGCTGACGAAAAGGGTGACATAGAGCATTAGGATAATAAATAATTAAAAAATAAACAAAAAATGAAAGGAAATTCAAGAGAGCAATGCAACAGCGCATCCACCAAGCAGCGAAAGAGGGAGACAGACACCGACGGCTAAGGGTGAGGCCAGCGTCAAAAACAAAATGTGAGGACAAAGTGACAAGAGCCAAGAGCCCAAGCACCGCGAAAATAAAATCACAGAACACAAAAAAAGAGAAGAGAATCTAAGAAGAAGGCGACAATAAAACGGCAAATACCAGAACGAACGCAAGACCTAAGCCAAACAAACAAATAAATAGACAACAGTGACACTAAACCCTTAATCAAGAGTGAGCCGGCGAGGAGGGCGATAAGTCACAATTCGCAACAGTGAGTCAGTAAGTGCGGTGTGGAGATGACACTCCCTCACCCCCCTCCCTCTCTCCCCTCCCAACCACCCCTACTCCCTCCCCAACCACCCTACCCCCCTCTTCCCCTCCCCCTTCGTCTCCCCTCCCGCCTTCACCCCGCCAGCCCCCACCCTCTCCCCACCACCCTTTCTCTCCCCCCCCCTTCACCCCTCCGCCCCCCCCCCCCCCCCCCCCACAAGCACCACATACCACAACGTCCATGTTGTAAATCTTCGTTGGTGTCCTGCCCTGATGACCTGCATCCCTCGTGATGACTCTCTATGTGTGTATGTGTGTATGTGTGCTGTGTGTGCGCGCGTGTGTGTGTTTGAGTGACGTGTATGTGTGCGTGTGTGTGCGTGGTGCGTTTTATGTGTGTTTGTTGTTTGTTGTTGTGTGTGTGTGTGTGTGTGTGTGTGTGTGTGTGTGTGTGTGTGTGTGATGTGTGTGTGTGTGTGTGTGATGTGTGTGTGTGTGTGTGTGCTGTGTGTGGTGCGTGCGTGCGATGTGTGCAGTGCGTGTATGCGATGCGTGTGATAGTGCGGTGCGTGGTGTGTTGTTCGTGTTAGTACGTGTGTGTTCGTGTCCGTGTTCGCGTGTGGGCGTGTGAGTGTGGTGTGTGTGAGAAACAGACAGAGACAGAAAAACACATACTACACCTCAATATGTGCGTGTCCATGTGCATGCGCCAGGCCATCCCTGCCATGTGCCCTGTGTGGACGCGCCATGCACAGGCGAATGAGGGCAGCGAACCCCAAGCAAGTCCCATATCCCCCCAAAAAATTCATAACTGCCTCGCGCGCGACACAAACAATCCGCCATAAATCACACGATTTATAA